CCTTGCCTCCTTTCTTTTTGGACGAAGTGTTCGTCCATTGTTGATCTCCCAGCAAATCAGGGTGGACCCACATGATTTCCCCTTTTTGGGTAGTGAGAGGCACTAAACCCCTGTCTTTCTGACTATGCGGGTCAACATTCTTCAGGTGCATTTCTCCCTTGCGAATGGGGACGACGCCGTTCGCTGTTACCACCGGGGGAATTGGTTGATACGGTCTTCTGCTCAGGTTTTAAAGTGAGCACATTAGCATTCACCAAATTCTGTAAGATGTCTTTGAAGACATAACACTTTTTGGTAGGATGTCTAAGGAATCTGTGATAACGACAATAGTTAGGGTCATCCACTTTCCCTGCTTCATCCGGCTTCCTGATCTCAGGCAATTGCAGCTTGTTGTTCTTTCGAAGTAACTGGAATAATGTATCCACATGCTCCTCTTTGAACGAATACTGTTTGGGCGCTCTTTGCTGATTTAGCGCTTTGCCCTGCTTGCTCGGCGGTGGAACTCGCGTGTAGTCGGCTGCCAAAGTCTCCTTTCCCTTAGACCGCTGGGCATTTTGCTGATTGCGTTGCTGCTGCGGCTTGGGTTGTGGCACTTCTTCAGCTTTGACACGCGCCACTATCTCCTCCGCTTGTTCTCCTTGCGAAACTAGTTGTCTCCAGGAGCGACACTCCGCTACTCCCATCTGAGCGAGGAGCTGGGTCTGCAGGTTGTGCCTACAAGTTTCAACCAGAGTTGATTGGGTCATACCTGAGGGGCACCGTAATGCCATGCTGCGGAATCTCTCCACATAGGCCTTGATGGACTCTCCTTTCCTTTGCTTTGTGGCGAGAAGAGTTGGGACTGAGACCTCCGTATCGTCCTCAAAAAACCTGGCCAAGAATAGCCTTTCCAGGTCTACCCATTTTTGGATAGATCCAGCAGGCAGCTTCATGAACCATTCGAAAGCGACACCCTACCCATTTTTGGATAGATCCAGCAGGCAGCTTCATGAACCATTCGAAAGCGACACCCTTAAGGGTACTAATGAATAGCCTGGTCAGGATGGCATCATTCGCTACTACATCTCCAGTTTAGGATTTGAAGTAGTAAATGTGTTGATTTGGCGATCCTGTGCCATCAAAAGGTTGTAAGGTAGGGGCCTTAAATTTTGGTGGGTAGGGAGCTGTATCCCACTCAGCAGGGTAAGGCCGCACTACTCCCTCTTCACGAAGCTCGCTTCTGTTGGCGATTGCGTTGAGGCGAGCCTCCAGTTCATCCACCTTGGTGGATTGAGGGTGCAGTTCTTTTTCTATTTCTCTCTCACCTTCGGAAGAGGATCCCAGATTGTGAGTCTCACGATCTGAATGTTCGTGCACTTTTTGTTTTCCCTTCGAAGTTGTTCTCCGGGAAGACTCAGGCTTGTGGCCTTTTTCAGCAAGAAGCTGGGCCAACATCTCCTTTAATTGGAGAAGTGTTTCCTGTTGCGTCTGGAGCATGACACTATGTTCGTCTACTCTTTTGGCTATGTCTTCATGGTTCCCCGTTGTGTAAGCGGAGACCTCGCGTGCTCCAACAGAGCTTGAAGATTGAGATTCGGCTATTGCCGAATGTTCCTCACTTGTTGTAATGCCATTGGCTAACTTTTGATAGTTAACTGGGCGAATAGTTCCCGTCCGAGTCCGAGTATTCTGATATACTCCTTCGAACTGGTCACAAATTTCTCGGACAGTTGGCGGATGACTCTCTTGTGACTCGTCAGAATCAGTATGCGAGGCCTTCCCTCGGCCGATCATGTTGATAGTGACCTGTGGGTATTCCGCTTCAGTTGTCTTCTTTCCAGATCAGGAACTTGGGAGGAAACTTTCCCCGGACTTGGAGGTGGAGTTGGAACCCCCTGCCCTTGGGTAGGTGAGATTGGTTCTTGTCGAACGTGAATTTTAAAGCCACGCTGATTTTTTTGAACCTGATGGACCTCTTGAAGATCGCGTTCTTGAGAAATAACGCGAGGGTCGCGTTGAAATTTGTAAACACTAGGCCGAGGCCTGCGTTTAAATGATCGATGAACCTGACCTCTGAGGGTCAAGTTTTGGTTGAACGCGCCCCTGAGGGTCGCGTTTGGTTGGTGAAACAGACTCCTGAGAGTCATGCTTCGTTTGAACGCGCACATGAGGGTCGCGTTTATTTTGTGAAACAGACTCGTGAGAGTCATGTTTTATTGGAACGCGCCCCTGAGGGTCGCGTTTGGTTTTGGCAGCTCCCTTCTGAGGGCTGCGTTTTGAATGAACACCGCGCCACTCAGGGTCGCGTTTGAGCTGTATCAGCCTAGGTTCGTAGTTGGGCTCATTGCCACACAGTGAGCGTTCTTCTTTGGGAATGCTAGGCTCGGTTGGATTTTTAGAAACGCGATCTTCGCGTTGGGCCAACAATCGGCTTTCCCGTAAGTGTGCTCGTCGTATGGATCTTCTCCGTCGGCGAGCGGCGTTCTTTTTGGCTTGTTTCAAAGCCTTAGCAGCAACGTCATTGACGTTTACAGGACTCGTCTCTTCCAGAGGCCGTTTGTGACCCGAAGCACGTCTTGCTGACGCAGAGATGAGATCTTCCGCCAGCAGAGCCAGTTTGAGTTCCTGGCCGAAGGAGAGGGCTTTCTTCGGCACTTCAATAACAGAATCGACCTTCTTTGAGGTCTTGCGGACATCGTGCTTAGCCTTGGGGCTAAGCGATCCAGAGGATAATGCTTCCTCATATTTCGCTTGATCAAACTCCACGATGAGAGTTTTTACAGTCGTTCCCATGAGGTGGACGTCGGACTGAGCCACCACTTCTTCGTCGGAAAAGCTAGTCCCCAGGTAGAGAAAATTGTAAAGAAGAGAATAAAGAAAATGTGACTTTGATTCCTTTGATCTCGGTTACAACTTGATTACAAAAGAGAGGAAAACGAATTTGGTTTTCCCCTTTGTTTAAAACTGGGTTCTTCTTGGCAGCGATGGAGTGCTTCCTTCGATTGATTGCGTCGAACTTGCTCTCCGTTGACGATCCGACCGTCTTTATCTCGTGGGAACGATGAACTTTCGTGGAAAAAAATAACTCTGAATGAGTTTAAGAACTCTGAACGAGTTTGAACTCTGAACGAGTTTGAACTCTGTGAATAGAGTTGTTGGAACCAAAAATTCGGTTAATGATCAAGCTGCTTTTCTGTTGTCGAAGAATCCTCTCAGATTTGATCTTCTGAGTTTGATTCAAAAATCCTATCTCTAAGGATTTCGTTGCTGCTGAATCTCCAAGCCTGAGTGGTTGAGATCCTGAAAATCCAACCTGTGCGGTTCAGATGTCAAAAACCCTTAACTCAGTTGAGTTTGTTGAGTTTTTATAGGGGGATAAGAGGTTGTAACTGCCCTCTAAATCCGCTCCTAAGTGGGCGTGATTTCCTCAGATCGTGGGGAAACAGTTCTGAAACCGTTCGACTCGTGTTTGAACGAGTCAAACGCCCAATCTGGCGTTCAGAACCCGACTTCGTGTCTTTGAATTGAGACGCGAGGTTGGGTGTTAGCTTAACACCATTGAACGCGAGGGTCGCTCGCGTTTAGCTTGTTGCTTGCTTGGAGACGTGGGGGTCGTTGTTGGCTGAACCCCTACGAACGCGAGGGTCGCTCGCGTTTGGATTGTGGCTTGGCGACGCGGGGGTCGCTTTCGTTTGAACCGTTGCGAAGCGGAGGGGCTGTTCAGTAATCCTAGCTTTAGCTGTTGTGGGGTGTGAAAGCCGTCAGATTGTAACTTTCACTGTAGATTGTAAAGACTGCTGAATAGAGTTTTCATCAGTTGTTGGAAGTGTCGTTGAATTGTAACCCTTCTCGATCTATGTGAAAAGTCCTCTATTTGCTGCTTCCGATCACCGACCCGAAAGCTATTTGATTGTAGCTTTCGTTGTAGGAGCTAGACGGGAATCAACATCCATAGTGTCTCAAAGACGGATATTTGCCCACAGCTCTCTACCAAACAACTATCTGATTGTATGTTTCGATTGTCGGCGCGAAAGCTATTTGATTGTAGCTTTCGTTGTGAGAGCTTGACGGGAATCAACATCCATAGTGTCTCAAAGATGAATATTTGCCCACAGCTCTCTACCAGGCAACTCACCAACTAAGTCCAGCCTTTTATTTCTGAAATCATCCCGCTGCTCATCAGCATCTCAAATGGTTGCTAAAATATTAGTCATGTTGTTATCACAACCATCAAGATCAATCATATCAGAAATGAAGTCGTGTTTGTGGCGATTGTGGAGTTACGGATGCAGTGATTTAGAAAGTCGTCTGATTGTGACTTCCATTGTCGGAGCTTGTTTGAGTAAGCTATCTATTGTGATTTTTAGACAGCCTACACACCCCAATTTAGGGTGTAAGAATTTGGGCCAAATTTCCCTTCCATTCTCCTCCTCTACCCTCCAAAATAAAACTCCCAAACAAGGTTAAAATAAAATTTCCCTTCCCTTCCTCCTCTCTACCCTCCATCCAAACAGGCCATAAGCGAACAAAAGGAGCAGCAGTCGTTGAACTAGTAATATGGCAAATTTCGAAAAACACGAACAACTTAAAAATTAACGATTTTGTCAATAATTTTGCAGACTGGAGTTCAAATCCTGCTCTGGTGGTCAAGATAAGCGGAGGGGAGAAAGAGGGGGGAAAAAATAGAAAAAAGCTTATTTGACTAAATCTGTTGTATCAAAAAATAAAATAAAATAAAATAATATTTTATATATAAGCAATGTGTCAACAAAACGAAATTCTGTGCTTTTGAACAATATTTTATTTGTCAAAAGAGAAACCATGTATCACAAGTACATATAAGACGCTTAGTCACCATCATATAGTCCATGTCTAGGAATTTATTCCATTAATTAAACGCATGACATCACATTTTTTTTTTATTTTTTTAATTTTCTTTTACTCAATCAAAAATTCAATTAAGGGAATAAAGACCAAGAAACAGAGTACGCCCTCTTTGATTATTCTGAAGCCATCTCCTGAGGAGGTCAATATTCATCGCCCTCTTCCTGGACTCCAACTAAACCTCCCCTCTCTCGATTCTCAACTATATATACAATACAAGCTGAGGGAGAGAGCCTTATCCCAAACTTCACTGGAAACAAAACATAAGCTCCAATAGTTGGCGAAGAAGCTCAAATCCTCCAATTTTTTCACGATCTCAAGGTTTCATTTCACTATCTCTCTCTCCCCCCATTTATCTGGTTTATTCTTTATTTGTTTCTCAAAGTAGCTGAAGTTTTTCATGTTCTCGTGTTTTGATGAAGAAATTAATTTTATGTTGTTTCACTTTGTGCAATACCATGCTCAGGTGCACAACTGTGTCAAAAACTATCTATTTCCTTAATTTGGTGATACATCTCTTGACAAAGTCCCTCCTAATTGAGAGAGAGAGAGAGAGAGAGAGAGAGAGAGGCATCTTTGGTGCTCAACATGATTATTACTAATTTTTGTCTCTTTTTGCGGACAGAAGCTCAATAAGAGAGAGAGGGAGTAGGCAAAAACCAGCATCATTAATTAATTAGTAATGGCCTTCGGGGTTTCGGATGAACTGTTGGGCACCTTTGTACCCGTTGCAGTCTACTGGATATACTCAGGATTCTATGACCTCCTCGGCGACCTCCACAATTACAGGCTCCATCCGAAAGGCGAAGAAGAAATCAAGAACGTCGCGACCAAAGGAATGGTCATCAAAGGAGTTCTCGTACAGCAGGCCTTTCAGATCGCCGTCTCCCTCCTCTTGTTCACGGTAACTAGCGCTAACATCGATCACGCATCAAAAACATATATAATATAATACGCCTCGCGCATCGCACACACCTCTGATCTTCTACCCTTCCCCTTTTCGCAGCTAATCGGCCATGATTCAGGGACCGCCCCCCCTCAGCCTTCATTCTTCAGGATCGCGATCCAATTCGTGATCGCGATGTTTGTGATGGACACGTGGCAGTACTTCGTGCACCGATACATGCACGTAAACAGGTTCCTGTACAGGCACATCCACTCCAAGCACCACAGCTTGGTAGTCCCCTTCGCCTACGGTGCTCTCTACAACCACCCAATTGAAGGGCTTCTACTAGACACACTCGGCGGCGTGCTCTCCTTTCTGATCTCCGGCATGACTCCCCGAACATCAATCTTCTTCTTCTCCTTCGCCACCATCAAGACCGTCGATGATCATTGCGGGCTCTGGCTCCCTGGAAATATATTTCACCTCTTGTTCGCGAACAACTGCGCGTACCATGACATTCATCATCAGCTGTACGGGAACAAGTATAACTTCTCTCAGCCTTTCTTCGTGACGTGGGATAAGATTCTGGGGACTCATATGCCTTTCTCGCTTGTGGAGAGAGAGGGAGGGGGGTTTGAGGCTCGACCCATGAAAAAGATCGATTAGGATCGGGTTCATCTGAGTATGAGAGAAGCCAAAAGTTACTAGCTAGTTGACTTTGTAATGTTTACTCTGTATCAATATAATCGCAAGGTAGATTTGCGATTAATTGGTTGGTCGTTGAGATTGATGAGATTGAATATATTGCTTCTCTTGGTTTGAGCATCAGTATATGCGTATAAATCTTCATGTTCATTATTGTGAGATGGCTAATAACGCATAGGCCACATGCCTAGGGCGTCGTATAATTGTAGGGATGAGTCTACAAAAGGTTGCAATTAAGAATTTCAGCAAACTTGATTATTCCTTGATGAAAGGGTCTGCATGAGGCATGCCAATCTTAATTAAAAGTTTTGGAAGAATAATTAAATCTAAATGATGGGAGGGATATGTGAGTTGACCCAACTACACAATTCATCAGTTGTACCTAACATGTGCGGTTTTGAATGTGGATCATATTACCTATTCAAAACATATCATATATATATATACATATATAGACCCTGTTTCCGCGAAGGATGAGAAATGCGATTGTAAAGTGCTCATCAAGATATTGTCAAAAGACAGAACAACATATTTTTTTGAGAAGCGGACAACTTTTAAGAGAAATATTTATAGAAGGGAATAGCTTAGTTTTATTTTGAGCAAAAGGACAATAAACTTGGTAAATAATTTATAAAATTATATTTCTTTAACGTCTAATAATTTTAAAAAACTGCATGCATATATATTGGTAATGCACTTAGCCTTCACCGAATGAGTAATCTAAAAAACCTGAATGTAGGAGAAACAAATATGTTGATGTTAAAAGGGTTAATCACAGGCGGTTTCATTTGCATCGCATTCAATCAAAAACTATTATACAATGCTAAACTATGAGCTAAGGTTAAAGAGAGTTGCACTATTCATAGCAACTGTAAAGACGTATAGTTGCACAATTCATAGCAACTGTAAAAACCTACAAATCCAAAGTCTTAACTGATGTAAAAAAAGAGAATATTAGTATATAATCCAAAAATAAAAGGTCAGAAAATCAGGCCTGAATGGGAGCAGTTGTGATTTCACTGCCCTAGAAGATTGAGGACCCGTCTATCGCCCTGGCGCAGTCGATCCTCTCTCCCCTAGCGGTAAAAATCTCCGGTTCGGCCGGCCTCTGTACTCGGGCGAGAGCAGCAAAGCTTAAGCTCAGACGAAGATGGTTGCCCGAAAATAAAATAAATATAACCAACGATTTTAGAGAGGAATAGAGCTCGGTTTTTCAGAGAGGAATAGAGTTCGGCCGGCCTCTGTACTTTCGCTGTGCTTTTCCAAACTGCATCTCATCTGAATTTATAGGGTCCACATACTCATAGCCGTTGCTGGATCTACGCGCACGTTCTCCTTAATCGCGTAACTCCCGCGCCATCTCCACATCCGTTACGAACGAGTCAAAAGGAATTACAAAATGGTAAAATTAAAGTTTTGAGATCCTAAAAGATGTGTGCGTGTGCAACGTGCGCGTGTGTGTGCTATACAAAGTCCACAAAACCCAAAATACTATTCAAAGTCCAATAATGGGTGTTCCAATATAAACCCTTTACTATTCCCATCACTATTCCATGTGACACTATTCACGAAGGCAAAATTGTTTTTTATGAACAACATAGCCAACATTAACCCCATTATTTTCTAACCCACCCATTTCTAATTTGAAATTTGTGTTTATAAACCCACAGTTTAACTTCAATTTGTTTTCAAACCTATGTTAAGGGCTGGGTTGAATTTGGGCTATGACATTAGGCCTCGGCTGGGTTGCATTTGGGTTGACCTAGTTTGGGAATCCCTTGTCTTTTCAGTTTTCTTAACATGGAAAAAGGGGCATTAAAAAAAAAGGGCTCCATTCACTTTAACTATGTCCTAGAGTTGATCAACAATACTATGGGTATGCTTGGTAGTTTTGACGAATTGCCATAGAAACAAGGGTTAAATCATGAGAAGATGAGTATCTTACAAACTGATCTATTTATGTAGTCATGTGTGTATTCACTCTATATCCTTTAGAGTACGTTTGGCAACTAGGTTCAAACTTGATTCAATTATGAGAATAACTCAGTTTGGAGGAAAAAAAAAGATCAAAACTGGTTCTTTTTTTTCTAGGTTAAAAAAGGGCCATTAAAGTGGTTCTATTTTGATCCCCTTAGATGATAAAGAGGCGCTACAGTCACACCCTAAATCACACCCCCAACACATTCCTCTCTCGCTACAATGTAATAGGGCCCACATGAGAATTTAAAAAAAAACCTCATATGGGCTCCAGTGCATTATAGCAAGAGAGGAGTGTGGTTGGAAATGTGGTTTAAGGGGGTATCTCTAGCATTTTCCTAGATTAAAATAAAATTAGGTTAACTCAAAAGTCCTTATCTAAATTTGTGCTATATTCCTACTATATAGATAGAAAACAACTCAACATTCATGGATATATTTTCTCAATAAATAAATAAATATCAATCAAGACTTTTTTTAATAGAAAACTAGCAAGTTGCTGAAAAAACCAGATATCTCAAATTGGAGAAGAAAGGATGGGTGCGATGACCCGAGCACAAAGAGTACGTAAGTTGAGTACTTATTTCTATATTGTTTGTAAGGAAATCAACGTGCAGCTAGTTTTCCCTTTTTTTTCCCCTTTTTTTTTTCCTTTCCTTTTTTCTTTGTAATCTAGATGTTGCACAACGACAAATGAACTGCAGAGTTTGCTTGTAAGATTTGTCTTCTGCATATTTATTTATCCCAAGTAAAGTGGGGTCGCATATTAGGTAGTCTTTTTATCCTATTTATCGGAATATATGCAGAGGTTCTGTTTACAACCTCTTCGTTTGTTGAAAGAAATAAAGTCTTTATTGCATGTGAAAGAAATAATCTCAATCAATTCTCACGGATTTTTCTTAGGGGCTGTTTGGTTCGGAAAAAAAGGGAAAACACTCCAAAAATAATTTCTTGGAAAAAATGTCAGTTTTTCGATCTTATGGGCCACTTTCAATGTTTGTTTCAAGTTTTAGGGCCTGTTTGGTTATTTCCTAAAAAACCAAAAAATAGAAATGAAAACAAAAAAATCTCAAAAAGTACAATTTCACACATTTCCATCCCTAAAACTCACCCACAACATCTAATAAAATATTATTTTTATCCAACAACTCATCCACCACATCTAATAAAATATTATTTTCATCCAACAACTCATCCATCACATCCACCACATCTAATAAAATATTATTTTCATCCACAACATCACTCAACTCATCTCATCTCATATTTAAAAATCACCCACATCATCCAATAAGATTGTGACAATCACTCAACTCATCTCATCTCATATTTAAAAATCACCCACATCATCCAATAAGATTGTGACAACTCATCTTATCTCATTAACATTTTATTTCTTTGTTTTCCTCCTAAAAAGCTAGGAAAACAATTTCCTTAAGTGTGTGTCACATCATCCAATAATATAATGACAACTCATCTCATCTCATCTATTTTCTTATTTTTAAGAAATAACCAAACAAAAGAAAACAACCTAATATAAGAAATAAGTTTCTTATAATTCATTTTCTTATTTTTTCCGCCAACCAAACAACATCAAAACAAGTTTTCTTAAAAAATCACTCACATCATCCTATAATAAGGTGACAACTCATCTCATCTCATCTCCATTTCTTTGATTTCCTTTTTTTTAGCCAACCAAACAATCCCAAAACCTATTTTTCTTAGAAATAGGTTTCATTTTCTTTGATTTCCCTCTTTTTTTAGGCAAACAAACAGCCCCTTATGAGAAATGAGTTCCCAAAACATCATCCTACATCACTTTTTTAGAAGAATCCATTTTATAACTTTTTTTAGAGGAAATGGTGTGCAATTGATTAAAATAAAATATTTTAAGGTTTTTTTGGCTAAGATGACATTTCATATGTGTACGTTTTCCTATTTTTTAGACAATGAACAAAATAATTGAAATTATGATTTTCTAGAAATTGAGGTTGTTCTTACCCCAACCAAACAATAAAACCCCATTTATTTCTAGAAAATTTCGTTATATATTCCTAATTTTTTGGTGCCCCAATAGGAGAATGCCACATAGCATAGACTATTTGCGAATGAGAAGATAATAAAATTAAATAATTTTTCTTGTGCTACAAACTCTCCTCTTATTGATGTGGTGTAGTGCTCATGGAGCACCAAAGAATTTTTCCTTCAAAAGGGTCTGCACTACAAATGCCACCTTATTTGAAATACTAATTATTCGGGAATATCCTATATATGAGAACGATAAGAAGAGCGAACAATTATAAAGTCCTCAGCTGGACATTGTCAAAAGCTAGAATTACAACAAGATACAGATTATGTCTTTAATTTTTCCAGAAGATGACTTTTGGAAGATATGTTCACAGTGTTGTGCGCGACGCGGAAGCGAGACAACCAAACGGGTGTGCTTAGAGAACCAAATCAAACAAACGTCGAGATAAAAGCAAAATTAACAAATTAAAACAACGGTACAGATCTAAACACAATAGTTTTACGTGGTTCGGCAAATTACGTACGTCCACGGGGGAAGATGGGGATTGGGTTTTTACTAATAGAGAAGAAGAGTACAAACTGAGATTACAAATCACTCGAAGGAACAAACTAATCTCACCAACAAATCTCTTAATCTCTCCAAATAAAACCTCAAATAATTGCTTAGAAAAACTCTCCTTTTTCTGTGCTCCAAATATCCCCAAACCAATATCCAAACAAAGCCAAAGAAACCATAATTCGTATGTTGGTATTTATAGCAAACACCAAACCCAATAAGAACAGGAAACACAAAACAGGCCTGACCCGATTGGCGGTCGACCGTCCAAAGCTCGCGGTCGACCGCGATCCAGCGACAGAGACCAAATTTACCTACAGGGTCTCGCGGTAGATCGCGACGGTCGACCGCGCCAAATCCAGACTCCTACTCTGGCTTGTGCACGTTCACGGTCGACCGACCTTACACCGCAGTCGACCGCGCAGCACCCAAAACGACTCCTGTGCCTCTAAACCTATTCTGATCCAAAATTTCTCGCCGATTCTATAATTCTCCACCTCGACGAAGTTTCTTCCAAAAAACTGAGCCGACACCGACCAAACCAAATACCTCACCTTTT